ATCGAGCCCGACTCCCTGCCCAACCTAGTCACCAACTCCGACAAGACTGCCTGCAGTAACAGCGCTTCAGGTTACCGTGATGGCGTTGCATATGCCATCAAGAATCTTAACCTCCCCAACGTCGTCATGTACCTCGACGCTGGTCATGGAGGCTGGCTTGGCTGGGACGCCAACCTGTCTCCTGGTGCAAAAGAGTTGGCCAATGCCTACAAGAATGGCGGTAGCCCTAAGCAGCTGCGTGGCTTTGCCACCAACACAGCTGGCTGGAACTCCTGGGATCAGAGCCCCGGCGAGTTTGCGAGCGCTTCGGACGCCAAGTACAACAAGTGCCAGAACGAGAAGATCTACGTTGATACCTTCGCGCCACTGCTGAAGTCGGCCGGCATGCCCAATCACGCCATCATCGACACTGGCCGCAATGCCGTTACTGGTCTGCGCAAGGAGTGGGGTGACTGGTGCAATGTCAACGGTGCCGGCTTTGGTGTCCGCCCTACAGCTGACACCGGCGATGATCTCGCTGATGCTTTTGTTTGGATCAAGCCTGGTGGTGAGTCCGATGGCACAAGTGACAGCAGTGCTACCCGCTACGACAGCTTCTGCGGAAAGGACGATGGTAAGACTACCTCCACTCGAAGCTCATAAAGTATCAGATTACTAACTTCATTACAGCTTACAAGCCCGCCCCCGAGGCAGGTACCTGGAACCAGGCCTACTTCGAGATGCTTATCAAGAATGCTAAGCCCTCTTTCTAAGCAACGGCATCAAGATGAAGAAGAAAAGGTAGCAGGACTGCGGGTTGCTACTCTTAGAACCCTGAAACAAAGCTTATGGGAAAAGACAACATACAGATCACATAGCGGAAACAAAAGTGCCAAACCATTTCACTCATTTGTTTGCAATTTGGATGTACATATGTAGCTTCGTATATACCTGTCGTCGATCAGAGAAGGCTGGCATTCGAACGGTGAATATTGTATTGACTCATTGCATGACTACTCATTGAGTTGTGACTTCACCACCCTTCCATGAAATCGCATATTCAAGCTGGAGATATATTTTAGCAGACTTGAGCCATGCACCTCAATCATCGAAATCTGTGCTTTTCCAAATGTCCTCATAATACTCTGCTGTCTTAGCCAAGTTTGCACCGACTTCCCGCATCATCACCCCGGTGTCACTACCAAGTGGCAGTCTCAAGAGCCTCTCCTTGCCTTTGAACAACCCTTCGCCGGCGACATACTCCCACATTCTTGCTGCGCCCTCTTTTGGGTCTCCAGGTTGCCGCCCATTATACAGTGTAATTGCTTCTCTCGCTTTTTGCGCAGGGGTGCCCTCATAGACAGCCATTTCCGGTGCTAAGTTGCTGCCACTAGCAGGATTCTTGAGGAATTCTGTGCGGAAATATCCCGGTTCCACGACAACAGCTTTCAGACCAAATGGCTCAATCTCACCAGCGAGTGCGTCCGTAATGCCTTCTATGGCAAATTTGGTTGCGCAGTAGACTCCGTTTGACACATAACCATGAAGCCCGCCGATGGAGGATATATTCATGATGGTGCCACATTTCTGCGAGCGGAAATGTGGCAAGAAGGATCGAATTGTTCAAAGTACCCCGAAAACATTGATATCGAACTGGTTCTGGACTTGGGCATCCCTATGTGCGATTAGTAATTGCAATGACAAAGACAGCAAAGTGTATTCGACAGACTCTGTCTCTTCAACCGCGCCTAGATAGGCATAACCGGCATTGTTGACAAGTACATCAATCTTACTGAATGCCGAAAAGGCTGAATCGGTATATGCATTAATAGCCTCTTGTGACCATGAGGCATCGTATTGGAGGACTTTGACGTTTGGGCCCCTGAGAACATCTGGTACTTTTGATGGTGAACGAACGGCTGCAACAACTTGATCGCCTTCTTGAAGAGCCTTGACGGCGAGATTCAAGCCAAGTCCTGTATTGGCGCCGCTAATATGCCAAACACGGGGTGCAGCTGAACTCATTGTAGGCAATATTGGTAAATTGTCAGCAGATTATTGAATGTTTACCGGTCAAGACAAGTGCGTCGTGACCCTTTATCTTTTCTCAGTTGTGTTGGCTGAGTAATGCACTATCCATTTTTCTCCAGATAACCTTCCAGCCAAGGATAACCAGAATATGCATCAAGTGCCGTAGTGATGGCATTCTGGGTATTGTGTACTGCAAACAGCTCCGAGTGATCGAATACATAGCGCCTATCATCTGTATCTTAGACCTTCATCCTCAAGCCATGGCGCGGGCGATATTAGACCTGCGCCAATCATCGTTATTCTGACAATGCAGCATTAGCGTTCTGACTTTGCTTTGCCATCTGCTTAGCTCGATGTCATTGTATCCAATCACTGCAAGGAATGTAGGAATTGTTTCCTATCGTGGCTATGTTATGAAATGCTGTCACGACTGTGTGTTCAGCTGTAGGTTCGTAAAATAGTGAAAATTGTGCCGTGCAGACGAAAGGTATGACTGAGACCCGACGCAGAAAATTCTCGTGTGATGATTCGCTCACAATATGCACTTCTCTGTTGTCCTACGTTAGGGAATATTGTGATTTGTGGCCTCCGTCATAGTGATTATGCCTCTCCAGCCGTCAGGCTGGGATGACGGCTTCGTAATTTCGGAATGCCTCTTTGTGCTCTCCAGAAATTGGCGGTTTCTATGACCTCTCGGTCGAGTAAGAACCACCATTTCTGGGCAAAGCTTTCCTCAACTTCCCAGCCTTGAGGAGCCCATGGAATCCTCCCCCAGATGAAAAAACCACCAGAGACAGCATCTCTCCAGAGGTCTTGAAAGTCGATATGCGGAAGTGCTCTAAGAACGGAGTCCCGCAGGCCAGAAAATGGTAGTGCTGCCACAAACGCAATATGCGGAACCTCAGCCTGTAACGCTGTTGGCATCAGAGTTGCTGGTGGGTTGCTGACCATTGATGCGTTCAACACACTGGGTGTCTGGATCTCACAGTAGACCGGGATAGATTGAGCATTGTCTTGAAGTGCCTTGATGACTGTTGTGCAATTCAAGACTAGGTAGAACGCATCAGGATCGATATTCAAGCCAGACTCTGATGCTGCAGTGGTTGAAGCACCTGCAAAAGGGCCAACCTGCATAATTGCACTCGCACCACCTGAGGTCGCCATAATACTACTTTCTCCTCCAACGGGCCCGGCTGCACCACTGCCCGACGGCCCTGCTTCATCTGCCGTTTCTTCTCCGCTTCCTTGGCCCCGGGTGAGGCGTTGCCGCAAGCCTATCATTCATTAAGTATGCCCGATAGCATCAAAAGTGGATAGCATACGTCGTGCTCTTTGAGCTAATCTATCCTGTATCCTCTTCCTCTCTTTTGGGTCCTTCGTCTTGGTCCAATCATCACCGGAAAACGAAATATCCTGTCCTGACATGCTCCTATGTTAGATCGCTCAATGTGAATACTCGCGACTTTGTTCAACTGGTTCGAAACTGGCCTTTATCATGCGCCTCTCATCGTTCAATAAATTAGTAAAGCAAAAGTCTCGAGTCATCAAGTTTGAGGATAATGCGTAAGCAGGTGTAGTAAGTATCCCTGAAGTGGCTTGTTGGAGCATTTTATGATTAGTCATACGTCCTTTTCACATCTCAGATCATAGCTTTCACCGGATCACGGGACTCAAATACTGCAACACTGACATCACGGTGGTTGTCATACAAATGCCCGTTATTGTCTAACCGATTTTCCTTTTTGTTTGTACATTTATACAGCGAGCACTACCATCAGTGCAAGGTTTTGCCATTTTGCCATATCAAATCTGAAATCGTGCCGAGAACTGTCGACCCAGTGACCACCTTCCAGGTATTTGACAGCTTCGAACCTCGTTTTCCACAAGATCACTCTGTAACAACTCTCAGTTTTGCCTTGCCGGGCTTACATGAATGGCGGTAGTGAGAAGGGGTAGCCGCCGTTCTTGATGCGGAAAATGCTGAGCAGGAAGCTGTACATCACGAACAAGATGCCGCCCCAGACAATGACAGCTACTTGTTGCGACTTAGGATCCGCGATACGAGGAACCTTCATGATAAGTGCAATCGATGCTAAGGCTAGAACGCCATCTATTGCTTGTTAGCTCGAGGTATTTAAAAGGGCATACTGCACACATACACATGGCGCCCACGATCTGTGACTCCAAGCCATACTGGTTCTGAAAGCCACCTGCGAAGTAGCTTATACCTCCGCGGCCGTCACCAGCGACATATGGAACCTTTCGGATTTGGTTAAACATATGACCGCTCGTGAAGACCAGGATGCCAATGACGGTAGCGAAAGCCCAGAGGTTCCGGTTTTGCGCAATCGGCTGGATATATGGCCAGGCAACGACGGCAAAGGTAGAACCTCCCGAGATGATTGTTAAGCTCACAATCCACCGCATCCAATTGATCGGTCGCTTGATAGGAGGGTGAGGGCGTTCAGGGAGGTGGCGGGCGATCCAGGCATGGACCTGCTCAGCGATCTGGGGCCTAAAACTTTCTTAATACATTATGTTCGTCCGCCAATAGCTCATACTCTCAGACGTACCCGTTGGTGAAGTCGTATCGCAGCGGCTCAGCGTTGGACACAGCGTGAGGTCCCGATGTAGGCTGGAAAAGCAAGAGTACCGGTGCCGTTTGGAGACCCAGCTATTGCATATCAGTTCGGCTGCAAAATGTTGGAAACGATGATTCCTGCAGCCACTTACAGACATGAATGTCTCCCGTCCATCAGAGAAGTCCAGCGTGCCAAAGAGCATTCTTGATTCACCAGGCTTGTCGCCCTTGGTCCAGGTTCGACCGAGCAGATCCCATTCCGGTTGAAATTCTCGGCACAGTTGGCAGCCAAACCGAGCATCCATTGCCGTTAGTAGGACACCGACAGTATAGTCGCGTGGAGCAGCGGTGAGCTTCTTGTATGAGGCATCGTCAAGTTTGAAGGGTGATGCTTTGAGAGACTTGGCGTGGAACTCGTCGAATCTGTCGGTTGCTGATTGCTTTGCAGCAGAAGCACCAGCTGCGAGCAGGGTGAGGGAAGTGAGGAGCGACGACCAGCGCATCGTGAAGCTGTAGAGAACAAGAAACGATCACCAAAGGAATGTGTTTGTGAATATGGAGGACAGCTTGTTCCCGGTCGTCCCTTTGGGATTGTCGCCAGGTTGCTGCTAGCTTCAGGGCGATACAATACACAACGCTCCTCCACGTAAGTACGTACGTCAAAGGTGTCCTCAAGTTCCAATTAACCCAGGGGAGGGAAGCTTGGACCACCTATTCACATTGAGCTTCAGTGTGGCTTGGCACAGGTTTGTGGCTGCTGTAGTGGGGCACAGGGCCGCCATTGCAGGCTAAACCACTTTCTGCAGTATGTTTTTGTTGAACCGTGCATCCTGCCCTCCCG